AGAGAGAGAGAGAGAAGAGAGAGAGAGAGAGAGAGAGAGAGAGAGAGAGGGGGGGGGAACAGAGAGAAAGAGAGAGAGAGAGAGAGAAATAGATAGATAGAGAGAGAGGTCAATGACCTATTTAGTAGTCCTCGTGCTCCTTAGTTCTCTCATTGTAGCGCTGTGTACTGCGCCATTATGTTGAAGCCTCCCGCTTGTGCGATAAACTGTATCTCTGTTAATGGTGAGCTAGAAGCAATATGATTAGTGTACTTCTCATGCAAATGTTCATCTCAGCCATAGGTTCCAAGGAAACATCCAATGACGCTTCTTGTTCTTCCAGCTCTTCCTCCCCTCTTCTTATGGAAGGGAAAACGCAACTAAAAAAGTCGGGTTGCATCAAAGCGAAGTGAGAATAACTTTGAAGTTTCGACTTGGCCAGATTGCTTTAAACGGAACTAATAGCTACTTGCACAGAAGAGTTTTGCCTCTGTCGTGCGCACAAGCCCATGTCATTTGTTTTTTAGTCATATTCCCCGAGGTCACACTGCTGGTTTTGCGCTAATTAGCGCACCAGTGCTCGGTAATGGTTCTTTCTACCGGCCCTCAATGTGTCGTTCGGGTCCCTCTAAACCGAAACATTCGGTTATCATGACTTATTGAGAATGTATTTTGTTTCCTTGTATTAGCCAAACTATTGTAAGGAAATTTTAGATTTCCATAAGATGCAAGTTAAAGAAATGTATGATAATAACATTGATTGTTGAGTCAACCTTTCTCTATTTTCATTATGTGAACAAACCCACAACTGTTGGCAGTTTTCTCATTTTGTAAAATACATTCATACAAAATGGCATACAAGACTAACAGGCTGCAGCACTGCTTATCTTCAGAGGGACTGAGAAAGTAGAAGAAACAATTGTTTTAAAGTTTTTTTTACCTTTCGCTTTGACTTGATCCATGACTGAATTAATGCTTTACCTTTAATTATAGACCTTTCTTTTGGATTTTTTTCTGTGCGTTTTTGTAACGATGCAATTGATTACCTAGAAACCCCCTAACCATCTTGTTACTAAACGTGTCAATATTGCGGTCCGTATATGAAATATATAATAAGTAACAATTTTTTAAATGACATAACACGTTTGAACACATCGTGTATTTAGATGTTTTATTGCGTCTGTATGCCTTAACATAAAGATCAATAAAGTTTACCTTTTCTTATTGTTGCAGGAATGTTATTATATTTTCTGCTATCAGGTTAACTGATGTCTCTGGTAATTTTGTTTTGTTCAATATCTCAATACCATGCCAAAATTCAAAGTGTACTTTATTATTTGTATTGTGTTTCAATTGTTTTCACAACATATTATTTACTGTGTAAACTATTGTTGTTGGTTTTCTTTCTTTGGTGTTAGAAGAAAGCATTGAACTATGTTTAATAAAGCCATAAAAATCCTGTTTGATATTTTTACCCTGCGCCTCAAATGAATCTAGAGAGGTTCACTCGTGCCACATAATATATTCTTATTCTTTGGTCGTAATGAAAACAAAATATGTTAACAGGCCTCCATGTTTGCTGCAACAGGATATCATGCCATTTTGATATAATACCAGTTGGTTCTGCCATGTGAAATGGAAACCGTGCCTAACCTTTTGTTGTAACAAGATTTAAAAGACAGTGCGCCCAAGAGCAGGTCTGCGGAGCTAAACAATCGGTTTAACTTCCCATTGGAAGGAGGGATTGGGGAAGGGGGTGGGGGTGGGTGGAGGAGGCGCAGCTCCTTGCTTGGAGGATGTACTCGGACACCACAAAGTCAGTGGAGTAGGGATGGCATCTTTTCTTTGTTTCCGCCAACAAAAGAATAGTTTAACAAGGTGCATCACGCGGGTGGTTGGGGGCGCAACTGAGGTACTATTCCTTTTGTGTCCCTCTATTGTTTCTTTCTTTCTGTTTTGCTGGTCAGAGATAGTGCACTCTTGAGTACTCGTGATTCATTATGGAATCCACAATTTTGAGCCAAACGAAGGGCAACATTGGAAAGGTACCATGCACACTTGATAAAGTAGCAAAAGTGCGGTCAAAAATTCGTGGCGCAACTTATCCTCAAATATCGGGTGAAATCATGTCACACATACTTTGCACTACAGTTTGGATCAATTTGTCTTATTTTAATCATATTTTTCAAAACAACTGTGGCTCGATGAAAAAACTCTCTTCAGATATTTATGTAAAATATTAGAAATCTCCGGCACGCGAAAAATGGGATTGCTCACAGCACTTCTCGCTTCTCACACACATTTTGTATAAGCATATGGCCTATGGCATATGGCCTACAACTCACCAATGATACTTTTTAGTGGCAAAACCTCTTACAAGAAATTATTTTTTACAGTGAACACATTTTTTGTACTTGAAGTTCTCAAAACATGCGTTCAATAACCATCATGTCACAATGAGAAAAAAATGGACCGACTTGCTTTTAAAAGCGATATTGCCCGGAATGTAAATTTTTTTTTTAATCTGTGGAATTTTCTAGACTACAGTGTGCATGTGTTTGAAAAAATATTGATCTGTTAAGACAGATTAATATAAGTCATTGCTGAAAAGTTGGAGAAAATATGTTCGATAGTTAAGGAGATAATAAATTTCGACAATAAGTTGCGCCACGAATTTGTGACTGTACCATAGTGTTGCGTTTTGTATTTCAATTGTGCCTAAAAGAGAGACGGGGAGGGGGCCTACACTTGAAAGCTATCTCCTGAGGTAGTATTCTAGTTTGCAAAAAATCCGTGAAAATTCCCACTCAAGACACCTCCTTTGTTTGTTTTTGCAAAGTGTTTTACGGCGCTCGCAACTGCATAAGGTCATATGAGCGCGCAGGACACATCTAATATTTTCAGTTGGTAGGAAATTTTGAATTTTGCCCGGGTGGCGGCCGAAGCCTACTCTTATCGATTTTAGACCACCAAGGGATCTGTAACGTGCGCAACTTGCACACGGGCCCTCCGAGATTTTTCGCCCGTGTCCGAGAAGGCTAGGTGTAGATCTTTCCTACCAGAAGATCAGGGGTGTGGCAGAACGACAGCAGTAAGGAGGAGCCAAGG